TATTTGGCTCTTGGCTGTAGAATCAAAGAAATGATCAGAACCTGAAAAAGGTAGGTGGAGTCACACACACTAATAGCTATCACAGAAGTTGCTGGACAGTTAGGAAAGCTTTTGGATGGGCCCAAAGGTGCAGGTGGGTGCTGTCATCCCAACTTGTGAACAGTTTCGAAAAGGAGAGTGGAACCTCGACAGTGATGAATTGTAGGAATGGTTTGTTTGTGCTTTAACAAATAAAGGTTGCCTGAAGATGAGAGTGCAGAGTTAAACCACTAGTTAGCCATAGAGGCCAGGCAGTGGTGGCACACACCTTTAATCCCAGCACTAGGGAGGTGGAGATAGGAGTGATGTGGCTGGGTGAAGAGAGGACTATAAGGCGGGAGCAGACAGTAGCTCAGTGCAGTCTGAGGATTCAGTGTGAGATGCAGTCAGAGGCTTTGAAGAGACAGCAGCAGTCTGAGAATTTGTAGAGACAGGATCGCCCATTTGGTCTGAGCACTGGTAGAGGTAAGGACCCTCTAGTGGCTGGCTGCTGTTCTTCTCTGATCTTTAGCATTAGCCCCTATATCTGACTCTGGGGTTTATTTATTAAGACCAATTAGAATTCATGCTACGATGAATGACTGGAGATGTCCTTCCCTTCTAAGGTAACCTTGCTGGGGTCAATACCTTTACATTTCAGCAGACCAAGCATAATCTCATGTTCCTTCACACCATCAAGGTAACCATGGTAACAAAGGATTCTGCTGTGACTCTTGTCCCTTTGAGGATACAAACCCACCAGGTTTGGAAGCTGAAGTGGTCAGCTTCCAAGTCTGCCAGAGCCCCAGGTGATGCAAGAACTTGTGAATTTGCAGTCAGCCTGGTCAACATAGTGAGTTCCAGGCAGCAGGAGCTTTACAGTGAGGTACTGTCTCAATAGAGATGAAAAGAAAATAAAAAACCCAACGTTATTCTAGTTTAGCTTTGAATTATTGTCAATCCCTCTCAGATTCTGACACTAGATAATTGTCTTGATGCTAAAGGTTTTTTTTTTTATTTTTGTGCTTTGGTTCCATTTTGAATTAAATTGTCCTGAAAATTCAATAGTGTCATGTATAAACCGACGGTCCTGTAGTGCCTGCACCACAGGACCAGTTATGCGAGCCAGGAACTGGCTGGAGACTTAAAATCACACGTACACACAGACAAAGACACAAGGACACGGGTCATCCTTGATATAAGAGTGCCAAGTTTATTGTGCTCAGGGGAAGTTTATATAGGGCTCTGGCCTCGCCCTGGCTCTCGGGATCTTCAGCTGCAGACCCACCAGCCTGCCATCAGGGTCTCACGCTCAGAGCCGCTGCAGCCTGCTCAGAGCAGAGGAAAAGTTGTTCGCAGGGAATTCAGGGTCTGGGGGTCCACAGCCCCCAACAGCTCCCAACAGTGCCAGAATGGCAAGATATCTCCATGGGTAAAGGTATTTGTTATTAAGCTCAGTGACCTGGGTTTCATCTTTGAGACCTTTGTGGTGAAGGGAGAAGAGATTCCACAGATTGTCCTCTGACCTCCACATGCTTTATGCACGTGCACGTGTGCACATACACACATTCATAAAAAATAAGGTTAATTGAAATTAACCTTTCAATTGCAGGGATTAGAGAAATGTCTCAGTTGTTAAGAGAACTATGTACTCTTCCAGAGGACCCAAGTTCAATTTCTACCACTAACATGGCAGCTTACAACTGTCTGTAATTCCAGTTCCAGGTGATCTAAAGCTGCCTTCTGTCCAAGAGCACCAGGGATACAAGCAGGCAAAACACCCACATACATATAATTATGCCTTTCTTTTTCTTTTTTCTTTTTTTGAGACAGGATTTCCCTGTCCTGGAGCTAGCTTTGTAGACCAGGATGGCCTTGAAGTTGGAGATCTGCCTGAGGTAAGCCTACCAAATGCTGGGACCAAAGGTGTATGCCACCACACATGGCTTCTTGGTAAGTTTTTAATGCCGTGTCTTGGAGGGTCTGAGGAGAATGAGGTGAACTGCACTTACATACAGGACCTCTCTCTAAGCCACTGCTCTACTGGCTTTGCTCATGCAGCTAGCATGCACACCTACACGTGAGCTAGTTGATGTTCCTTAGTCTCAATCGGGAGACACGGGAGGTAGATTTTGTATTTTTATTGAACTTTAATGTCGTATTAAGATACTTTGAGATCATATTAAGGTATATTTTCATGTGAGTTTGTGACTATAAGATAGACATGTATTAAATGGAATGTCTCAGAAATTTATAAATGACTACAAATATAAGCTAATCCGAATCCACTGAACAAGTGAAATAAAGGGGAAGGCTCTGAGGAAGGCTTTCATATGCGGTTTGCAAATAGATTTGCTGTGTAAAATAATGTTTGCAGATAAGGCCTTTACTTGGAAAACATAAGGTACCAACTGAAAAAGATCCATAAGGTTGCAGAGAGTGCTCAGGGCAGTGTTTTCTGTGAAAGTCTTAAAATGGAGTCCATGTCTAGGTCCCATGTGAAAGTGGGGGACAGAGCCTACCATAGTTGTTCTATGGCCTCCACACGTGTTCACACATCTTAGACACATACACAAAAATAGTAGTAAATAACAATAAAATTTTAATTAAAAAGGGAAAAGCTATTGCAGAGTACAAGTGTTCAATACACAACAAACACAGAGTCTGCACAGACAAAAGGAACGATGGGAAGGAAGGTCCACTGAGACGGAAACCGCAGCAGGCTCCGTGCTGGAACCTTGCTTTTTGGCTTCTGCAGTTCTGCTTCTGGCTAACAGTTCTGCTAACTGCAGTTATCAGCCAGGCCTTGGCTTTGTGTTTAAAACCTGCCCCTGCGAAAGACTTGGAACGCCCAGTGTAGTCACTGGCCTGCTGCTCAAATCCATGTCCAAGCAGTCTTCTCTGGTGAATACGACCAATGAAACAACATAAATAATGTGCCAACTAGGAATGAGCTCATGTCAGCGTCACATTGGGCTCACAGAGCAGAGAGCTTTCCAACACAACACGAGGAAGCGCTCATGGGGTCCTTGTGAATAGGTCGCAGTTTTCTTTATTAGAGAAGGTCTCATGTAGCCCAGGCTGGCCTCTATGCCAAGGTGTAAAAAAAGAGAAAAAAGTAGACTATGCTCTTCAGAATGATCGTCATCAAGACTTAATTCTCTCTAAATTAGGCTACAGATTTAATGACTTCTTTTAAAAGGATCTCAGACCCTCCCAGACAAAGCCAGCACTCGGAATTTACTAAGCAGCTGGGCAGTGGTGGCACAAGCCTTTGATCCTTGCACCTGGGATGCAGAGGCAGGTGTTTGGTTAAAAGCATCACCTCAGCTTCCTAGCACCCTTTTATACAAAGAGTCTGGATTGTTTAGTTAGGGGCTTCACCCCAGGCCCCTGGCACCCATTTTTGCAATTTGGGGTGGAAAATTCCATTTCAAAGCTCCCTCCTCTGGGAGTTGCCTCAGTCCAACTCCACCTCACCTCCAAGAAAGCCCACACACAAAAAAAAAAAAGCCCATCAAATGGAACCCTCCCCAGGGAAGGTCAAAACCACTCCTACAGGCTATTTAAACTGCCCCCCCCCCCCGAGAATGAACACATGATCTGGTTTCCGTTTCCCATGGTCTTTTGGTTCTCTGTCCCACTCTCCATGTTTTCTCGCGGTGTGGGGGGAGCCATTAAACATGTGAAAGACTCCCGGGTGGGCGTCTTCCCTCGGGAGAGACCCCATGCCCAAAGATCAGTCGAAAACACGCAGCCGGATGCAAACAGCAGGAGGTTTTATTGGTGGATACACAGGTACCTGGGCGACAAGTCGACTCGGAGGACTTGCGCGCCTGCAGGTTGGGGATGAGGGGTTCTTATAGGAGAGCAAAAGCGCGGGTACAGAAGCAAAAAAAGCTTTCATTTCATTGGTCAATTTAAATAAGGCTAAGCTGAGTGGCACATTCCTGACCTTTTACCTAAATACCAAGGAGGGGGTTGTCCAGACCCACCTGGATACCAAGGAGGGGGTTGTGCTACCTGTTTTTCTTATCTCTTCCTGCCTTCCTAGCTTGGCTGGCGACTTGATGTCTGATTTGCACAGCCCCTGACTTGTGACGAGCCTCGCTTTCTACGTGACTCAGGCTTCGCAATCTTCTCTTTCTTTGTTCCTATGACCAATCCATAAATCTCCTGTCTGGCTGTCTTTGCTCAGGTGTCTTTGCTCAGCATTTCAGAGGCACTGGATTCCAGAGACCCTTAATTAAGCCTGTTATTTGCTCAGCATCCCGGCCTTTAATGAAGCTTGCTATCTGAAAACCTTTGCAGAGCGTTATAACTGTGGTTAAAGTTAAAACCACAGTTTTAACTGTGACCCCAATGAAGTTGGGGTCCTTCACATGAGCATCTCTTAGTCTGGTCTGGTTGAGGTTATTTGTGTCGGGGGAGAGGTTGGTCCTTTAAGGAAAAATAGTTAACAGCAGGCAGATCTACAGAGTGAGTTCTAGGACAGCCAGGGCTAAACAGAGAAACTGTACCCCCTCCCAATAAAAGAATAGAAAAAAAGGAATTTTCCATTTTGATAACTAGCAAAAAGTGCAAATTTGTATGGAAAAATGAAGCAAGGGTACCTGGGGCAAAAAGAGACTAGTCCAGTGAGGTCCTGGGCAGCAGGATATGAAGGGCAGTCCAGCAGGAAGCAGAGCTCTGTGACCCTGAAAGGAATAATGCATTCAACCTAAGGTGTTATATAACAAAGTGGAGGAGATATAGATCTTGCAACAAAAGGTCAATTGTTCAGCAATTAAACAAAACTGAAGAAAACACCAACACCAATAAAATGTTACATCTTTAATATGTAAAATACTCTGCATGGATCAAAGATCCAAGGGTTAAAAAGAAAACTGTTTATGAATATAAGAGAGAAGAGCATTATAATTAGGACACAAACCCAAAAAGTCACAAAACAATGACTCATAAACATTTAAAGAATATTTTAATTTAAAAATCATATTTATTTGGCATAAAGATTTATAGATATGTTACAAGAAAAATACAAAATTTTACATGTAAAAAATTCCAGGTCAATAACAAAAAATAAGCTACAAAGAATATTATTTCCAGTATTTTAAAAAATATTTATTATTTTAAAAATTTTATGTGTATGGATTTTTCGCCTGCAGTTATGTCTATGCACTTCATGTGTGCCTGGTGCCCTTGAAGGTCCAGAAAAGGACACTGGCCTCCCTGAACTGGAGTTGCAGACAATTGTGAGCCACTGTGTGGATGCCAATAATTGAATCTGAATCCTCTGGTTGACAGCAAGTGCTTTTAAGCACTGCGCCATCTCCCCAGCTCTTTTTTTCTCTTTTACTTTTTAAAAGGCTAATATCTAAAGCATCCATGTAATGGAAAAATAGGCTAGCAACCAATAAAGAAAATAGCCAATAACAGACATTCTGATGCAAATTCTAATGGTTATTAGTGCTATGAAAATATATCCATACTCACAATAAATAAAGATAAAATATTTGCTATCTATTGGGCTGAGATGTGCAGGCATGCAGTTCTGGTGAGAACACCAACTACTAGAACTTCTTTAGAAACAACTTGGGAAAATCTATGCAAATTTTATAAATTCTTGACTCGGCAATTTCACTTCTCAGCATTTATTTTAATTGGAAATAAAAAATAAGTAAGCCAGAACACAATATACAAGAAGAAACTGTATAGAGCATACTATCAATTGTGTATGTGTCTGCATGTTGTGTGTAAAGAATATATTCATTTCTTTGGTGGCAAATGTATAGTTTGTCTGCAAAAAGGTGCAAACAAGTTGGTTGTAGGTGCCTTATGGAGGGAGTTGACTGGGAAACCTTTAAAGCTTTACCTTTTGTACATATTCTTTTTTAAACACAAAAGTAAAATTAGTTATGTTCAGAGTCTGTGTCCCATTTAGTAATCCTAACACGTCAAATACATTCAAAGAGCTGCATCACAGACAAGCAAGTCATGAGACATCAACAACAGTTGTTAATATTTCATATTCTGTATCATCCACACAACAAGAATGCGTGCTCCTCCTTTAAATGCTCTGCTGTTGGACCATCAAAGACAACAATAAAGTCTTAGCAGTAGCCAGTTCTGAAAATATGTAGTTCTGTAACCGCTGGCACTTAAGATATAGTACACATTTTAAAAGAAAGTAAAATTAGCAATTTCTAAGGCTGTTTCAGTTTAATACTTAACATATGAATCAAGATATTCATATGTATCCTGGGAAAGTTTTGTTATAGCCTGCAGCTGCCGGAGAAGAGTGGGCTGCGAGCCACTGGTGGATTGCGTCCTCATACTTCCCTGGTTCTTTCTGCCAATCCTGATGCCACCTAAGGTGTGCTATAACAGTTGAGTAATTCTGTCCTGTGCTTTGTTTCCACATGATAAACTGCTCCTTATTGTACTGATGGACAGAAGCAGACACTTTAGGGTAGTTTATAATAGAACGAAGCTTCTGGTCCAAAGAATAAGTAATTTCTGAAAATTCTGTAGCAATATTTGTTAGCTCATCTGGGTCTGAGGAAAGATCTGAAAGACAAGAAGTGAAAGTTATGTGCTGAATTTGTTTTGGAGACCAGATACACTGTGACAGATACTGCATTAGGATTCATCCATTTTCCATTCTCCGTGTGCATTCACAGATCACTCAGTGACCGCATACTCAACCACGTTCTCTTAACACTACAACCCATAATGACACAGTCATTCAGACCCATGACCATGAAGCAAGGGATTTAACAGTGAAGCCCTTGTGTAATGAGTGAACAGATATCTTCCTGTCACCATCCTACCATCCCATATTTTTTCTTATGTGTTCTTTGATGTCAGAAACAGCCAAATCCTTATAATTAGCAAGCTGGCTTAGAATGAGTTTTTCCTTTCTTTGACTTGACACATAGGCTGCTCACAAGTGCCCACTTACAGCATCTCACACTTCCCAGCCAGAACAATCCCTCATACAAATAAACCACATTCACTTCTCACTACACCCTTTTTCTCTTTAAGCACCTTATTGCTAAGGTTTCTGAAGACTTCACTAGCCAGTGCCGTTCAATCGAGCAAGCAGCCATGGAAACAAGCACTCTTCTCAGTGAGGACCAGTGAGGAGCCCTGACAGGGGCTTCAGACCCACAGGGGATGGGAAGGCAGAGATGTGACGACCCAGAGTACCAATTCTACTGGAAAACAAGCAGGGCAATGACTATGGGCATGGAAAACTGTGCAGAGAATGTTCCTGTGGGTCCATTTGGGTACACTAGCCAGGAGAGGTTGAGAGGCACACGTAAGTCTGCCAGCTGACTAAAGATGGCATCTCTTGAAGAAAAAACAGTCCATGAATAAAAGCTATAGAGTACTGTCATGGTCAATGTACCTACTGATCCTTCAGTCACATTCACCTTTTGCAGAATATGTTGAAAGCCAAAAATTTCAACAACTGTAAAGCTGTAAATGAATTTTCTTTAGTGGACTTATCCACTTATATAGACAAAGTGCTCTGATGAGCTGAGGGGGAGGAGGGAGAGGAGAGGAAGGAGGCTTTGTGAGCTGAGAAAGGGTGATGGAATCGGAAACCAGGAACAGACAGCAGATTGTCAACACTTTCCATCATGGTCAGAGCCTGTTGACTGAGGTTTCTGTCCCACCTGGTCCCACAGACGTTTAGTCCCAAATAAGCACATAGAAGTCTGCATTAATTATAAACTGATTGGTTTAGTAATCTTAGGCTTCTTATTAACTCTTATAACTTTTATTAGTCCATAATTCTTGTCTGTGTTAACCACGTGGCTTGATACCTTTTTCGGCGAGACAGTCATATCTTGCTTGCTCTGTTTCTGGGTCACGAGTGCAGACCGAATCTTTCCTCTTTTTAGAATTCTCGTTGCCCTGCCTCTACTTCCTGCCTGGCTACTGGCCAACCACAGCAGAGCAGGGGTGCTTCACCACAGGTTGGCTGCTGTGAAAGACTGCCTGACTACGTGGCACTGGGCTCGAGGAGCTCTGCTCTGACTTGGTTAAGTTTGCTGGGCCTGATGTAGGAGCTCTGCAGATTCCATTTCACAGTGTCTATGAAGGTACATGAGTTGCTCTGTTGGAAGCCATGAATACATGTTCATAAACTTAAGGAAGTCAGTCCTCTGGCCCCCCCAAAAAATTGTTTCTGTCAATAATTCTAATATTTGTAATTAGGAGGGAAATTTAGGAAGTAATAAGTATTGGCAGTGGCCTTGACACGTATTCTATGTACAACTTGGGGATAAAAGATAAGAAAAACTCCAGCCGGGTGGTGGTGGTACACACCTTTAATCGCAGCATTCGAGAGGCAGAGGCAGGCGGATCTCTGAGTGTGAGGCCAGCCTGGGCTGTTATAGAGAAACCCTGTATCAAAAAACCAAATAATAATGACAATAAGAATAATAATAAATAAAGATAAAATAGGAGAAGAAAAACTCTAAATCAAAAATTCAGTTTAAAAATGGGTTCACAGAGAATGATACTAAAAGGCATCTTCGCAGGTGGCAGGAGCTGTGGGTTTGTGCTGAACGTCTAGTTTTATGACTTCCTAGACCTGAGGCCCTGCACAGCTGTCAAACTTCCCATGACCCCCAGTTTCCTTCCCAGTAAGGTGAAGAGAACTATATGAGCTCACAGGACCATGATTAACATTAAATAAAGTATCGAGAATGTACAGACTCTCCAGGAGCTGGGCATTGATCTAGAACTGATAAAACTTAGGTGTAATGAGAAGGTGTTGATTGGGGATAGAGAAACAAAACAAACATTGGAAGACCTTACCAAGAATCACATGGTTACACGAGCTCTGGATACCAAGCTGCAGTGTGCTGTCTCTAGCTTCAGGTGCTGATGTGGGAAGCAGCAGTTCCTCTTCGATTAGTGAACACTAATAACTCATATCACAAATGTTCTTTACCATCAGCAGTCACAGACTAGAGAGTACATGTGGATTTTACAGACAGAGTCTAGATCTAAACACTCACTCTAAACCACGAGACTGAGACGATCTACTGTGTAGCCTGTCCCACTATGACAAGCAATAGGTATTCGTTTGTTTTAAAAACAACTATCGACTCCCTTGAGCATGCGATGTAGATCAGCTTGTTCTACTTAGACTGGACCAAGAGGCTTACCGAAGAGCTGCGGCGGCACGGAGGCGCCGTCAGAGTAGGCTATGTACTTCCACTGGCCGGTGCGCAGCATGTAGGTGGAGGCATTTGCGTTGCATCCATGGAATTCACTTAGAATCCAGGGCGGACGGTGGATTTTGAATGTCTGCTCATGTGCAGATGCCTCTGATGACAGTGCCAACAAAGAATATCCACTGAGGGTCTGAGGCAGAGCAATCCCAGCAATATCTTCAGAACAAAAGTATAATGCCTTTTTACTAATTCATTGGAATTATCTTGAAACATCACTTCTATTTTCCCATCAATAAAAGTTGCAGACTAGAGAGCATATGTGGATTTTGTAACCTGTCTAGACTGAAGAGCTCACGCATAGACCATGTTACCTTGAGTGTTCCTCATCTCTCTCTTTTAAAAATATTTATTTATTTAGATTTTTATGTGCATTGGTGTTTCCCCTGTACATTTCTCTTTGTGAGACTGTTGGATCCCTGGAACTGGAGTAATAGACATTTGCGAGCTGTCACGTGGGTGCTGGGAATTGAACTTGGATCCTCTGGAAAAGCAGCTAGTGCTCTTAAATGCTGAACCATCTCTCCAGCCCCATGTTTCCTCATTTCTAAGAGGTATAATAATAGTACTTCTATCTCAAATGTTCATTTTAGGTAAAAACTAGCTAACTTACTTAAATTTGAGAACAGTGCCTGACACACTTAGCTCATGGGACAGTAATAAGGCTTACGCAAAGAGGGGCTAGTAGTTAAAAATGATTACAGAGTTAAACAAAAGCAGGTAATGTATTGTAGATAAAAATTTATTGTTGCGGTGTCTTATGAACTCAAAAGTGGTGCGTGGTACATCCTGTGCTCTGGAGTGACGTAATGATCATTTTAACCTGTCAAACACTCAGAATAAGAGCACATGAAGTAAGTCACTTACAAAAGGGATGCATGACAAACACTGATCTTAAGGAGAGTGTTGGTAAAACACCGGACGGTATTGGCATAAAGCAGAGGTATTCATCAGTGGAACTGAATTGAGGGCCCAGATATAAATCCACACACCCGTGGACAACTGATTTCTGACAAGGAAGCCGGAAATAGAAAAAAAAAGAAAGCATCTTAGCAAATGGCAGCTGTTCATATTGGATGTTGGTAGAAGAATGCAAATAGATCCATAGCTGTCTCCCTGCACAAAACTCAAGTCCAGGTGGATCAAAGACCTCAACATAAAGCCAGATAAACTGGATCTGAAGAAAAAGTTGGTTCTAGCCTTTAATGCATTGGCATAGGAGACAACTTTCTGAATTCTAGTAGCACAGGCACTAAGATCGACAATTACCGAATGGGACCTTCTGAAACTGAGAAGCTTCTGTAAGGCAAAGGACAGTATATATAAGACAAAACAGCAGCCTACATAATGGGAGAAGGTCTTCACCAACCCCACATCTAACAAATGACTGGTCTCCAAAATATATAATGAACTCAAGAAACTAGACATCAAAAAACCAGGTAATTCAATTAAAAATGGGGTGCAGATTTAAACAGAGAATTCTCAACAGAAGAATCTCAAATGGTCAAGAAAAGTTATTAAAGAAATGTTCAAACATTCTTACTCATCAGGGAAATACAAATCAAAATGACTCTGAGATTCTATTTTATACACATGAGAACAGCTAATATCAAAAACACAAGCAACAGTTCAATCTGCGAATGATGTGGAGCAAGGGGAACACTCTGCCATTCCTGGTGGGACTCAAAACTTGTTTAGTCATTTTAGAAATCAATATGACAGTTTCTCAGAAAATTAGGAATTGATCTCCTCAAGACGCAGCTATACCAGCCCTAGGCATACAACCAAAGGACCAGTCACCATACCACATGGATAGTTGCTCAGTTATGTTCATAGCAACTTTATTCATGATAATCAGAAACTGTAAACATCTGAGATGTCCCTTAACTGAAGAATAAAGAAAATGTGGTATAGTTACACAATGGAGTACTACTCAGTTTTTAAAAACAATGACATCATGAAATTTGCAGGCAAATGGATGGGATTATAAAAAAAAAATTACCCTGAGTGAGGTAACCCAGATCTAGGAAGACAAACATGATATGTACTCACTCATAAATGGATATTAGCTATAAAGTATGGATAACCATGTTACAATCCACAGACCCTTGGGAAGGGGAAAGAGAATAAATTTCTTAGGTGGACTGGGGGTGGGTACGGATGGGAACAAGAAGGATTAGAAGAGAGGGGTGGAGGAGGGGGAAAGTACTGGGAGAGACAAGTGGAATTGGGGGGCATTTCTGGGGTGAGGTAGAAACCTAAAGCAATGAAAACTCCCAGGAATCCTTGAGGGTGTGTAGTGGCATTCATTTGTATTTTAATAAATAATGCTTGCCTGAAGATTGGAGATTAAAACAGCCCCACTAGTCGGTTTTACAGACCAGGTAATGTTAACACACACCTTTAATCCCAGTAGCCACATTAGTTTGCCATAGAAACTGGGTGGTGCATATCTTTAATCCCAGTGGTGCACATCTTTAATTCCAGAACTATAGAGGATTATAAAAGGGGAGGAGATAGCTCACAGTCTCATTCTGAGATTCCTGGAGGCAGGATCACCATTTCAGGCTGAGGTAGAGGTAAGAGCCAGTGGTTGGGTTGATTGTTTTGCTTTTCTAACCTTCAGGTTGAACCCCAATAACTAAGTTTTTATGAATGATGCTTCAAGGGTGAGCCTGATGAAGGCTCCTAGGAAAGGGGGATACTGAACCTGAACTAGTTGTCTTATGTAACCAGACTGGCGCCTAGCATAATCGTCTTCAGAGAGGATTCTTTCAGCAGTTGATGGGAGCAGATGCAGACACCCATAACAATCATTAGGCAGAGCTCTGAGAATCTTGCAGAAGAGGGCCAGAAAGGAGTGTAGGATGCAGAGGGGTCAAGATACCATAAGAAAATGGCTCAAAGATTCAACTAACCAGGGTTCATGGGGGCTCACAAACACTGAACTTACAATCAGGGAGCCTGAATGGGTCTGACCTAGGTCCTCTGCTATATGCTGTGGTTGTGATGCTTGGGGTTCCTGTGGTACTACTAACAGTGTGAGTGGGAGCTTTCTCTGACTCTTTGTCTACTTTTGGGACTCTTTTCTTCCTATGGGGTTGCCTCATCCAGCCTTAATATGAGGGGATAAGCCTAGTTTTGTGGTAACTTTATATGCCATGTTTGGATATCCCTGGGAGGCCCGTCCTATGAAGAGAAAGGAGGGGAGAGGAGATGGAGAGGGGGGATAACTGTAGTTGGGACTAACACATGAGAGAGGGAGGTACAAAGAGGGAGCATTTCAAGCCGACCTGAAGGAGAGCACTCGGGAATAAGCACTCTGACACCGAAGCACTGGAAGAAAGGAAGGGTCACCGGTGGACCGGAGCCAGGACAGCTCCTGAAAGGCCTTAATCCCATGCCCAACCTAGCTTGTATTCTCACTTTATACTAAAAACACAAGGTGGGGCAGACAAGCAACCGAGATTTTACAGAAATGACCGCTGTTAACTGGCAACACTCATGTAGTAGCTGTTTCTCCAGGTTGTTCTGCTTCTGATGGTAAGTGGGGTCATGCGGAGCAAAGAGTCTGTACTAGCAGTGCTTTAAGTGAACCACTAAAGAAACAATAAATCAGTATCGAATAACTACTCTTTTCTACCTTATTCTACTTTAAGACAAAAGAAATGCATTGAGTGGGAAAGTGGCCGAGGACTGGCTACATGTGGTCATTGCTCTGCAATAAAGGGAAACCAAGTGATGAATGAGCAACCAGAGACTGAAATTCCAAAGCTACAAAGATGTTCAAGCACACAATAACAACTGGAAAAACAAAGGAGAGAGCTCTGATTTAAATCAATACCAGGCAAATAAATATAAAGACCTGTAGCAGAAGGAAGAAAATAAGAACCCGTACTGCTTTGATTTTTTTAAGGTAGGTATTTCACATTTTACCATCTCCAAAGTAGAGAAATAAGTTATCTTTCACCAACATGTACGAGTCAATGGTGATTTTTTGTAAAACGTAATGCCACGGAACAGAACTGTAGTATTTAAACAGTGATGAACTTAAATGACTCTGCTGGGGACTGGAGAGATGGCTCAGCAGTTAAGAGCACTGGCTGCTCTTCCAGAGGGTTTGAGTTCAATTCCTAGCAACCACATGGTGACTCACAACCATCTGTAATGGGGTCTGATGCCCTCTTCTGGCATGGAGGTCTACATGCAGAGCACTCACACATAAAATATAAATAAATAAAAAGGCAAGTGGAGCAAAACGTGAGGTGCCATCCATTAAACTTCTTGCTTCTAGGTTCCCATTGTGAGTTCCTGCCATGACTTCACTAGATGATGTACAAGCTGCAAGGTGAAATAAACTTACTCTGCTAAATTAAAACACAATAGTTTTAGATAATTTTCCCTAGTCTATCATCTTCTACAGAAACAGCAGTCCAAATGTTACTACTATGGACCTTTGGGTATCTCTGCAGACATTAAGAAGCAGGACATAAGGTACATAGTGTACAGCTAGGAAATGTGTTTGGGGGAAATATCTTCACACTATTAGACAGAGAGTGAGAAGGACCTGCATGGGCTCACATATCTGAATACATGGTGGCGCCTTCACAGTTGGAGGAACTGTTTGGGAAGGATTAGGAAGTGTGGTCTTGTTGGAGGAGGTTGAGTCACTTGAGGCAGGCTTTGAGGTTTCAAAAGACTCATGTGACTCCCAGTGCTCTTTCTCTGCCTCAAGGTATGGATCATGATGCAAGGTCTGAGCTGTTCCTGCCACCATACTGTGCTTTTGTTCCACCATCATAGACTCTCAACCTCAAAACGTAAGCCAATTAAATTCTTTCTTTTAATAGTAGCCTTGGCCATGCTGCTTTGTCTTAGCAATAGACAAGTGACTAACGGGCCCTGTAAAAAGTGGGGAGGAGATTCAGTGGTAGAAATACTTATATTTTAGGGAGGCGGTGGCAGAAAGTTGAATGTTGGGTATAAGTAAATAAAATAAAGGTATGCATCCCCAAATCTGATGTGTCTTATTTTATAGTCATATCCAGATTATGACTCTTTTGAAGAGAAAATGACTAAAGAGAGTGAAGGTCATTAGAACCAAGGAACATTGTCCTTGTTTCTCAGAGTACGAATCTGACTCAGAATGAGAGAGTTGTTCAAGTTAGTGGGATTCTTGTTTTTCTCCAGCATTACAAATATTTCCATAAGCACAGTACTTACCAAGCATTGTAGGGTAAATATCCACAAGAGAAACCACATTTGGTACTTGTAGGTTGGTCTTAATTCCCGGTCCCATGATCAGAAGCGGAACATGGACACTAGCTTCATACATACTCATTTTATAGAACTGGCGGTGTTCCATGGCCATCTCGCCATGGTCTGAAGTGTATATAACAATAGTTTTCTGAAGAAGATCTAACTTGCGGAGAGCCAAAATAATTTCACCTACCATAGAAATCAAGAAAGTTCTTTGGATTAGCTTTAGTTCGCGCTTGAGTTTGCAGCACTAAGTTTAAACGAGCGCACTCAGAGCTTGTTGCAATACTTCTTACCACCTAAGTAAAACCTCATGGCCTCACACGCTTTCTCCTCAGCTGACACTCAGTGTCTGCCAGACCACCTCTTTAGCTTCTTTCAGAGAACACTGAGACTAGAGCAGCTTCTTCTTCTCAGTGCCTCAAATGGGGACAGACAGACAAGTCTGGATGTCACTATGGACATGACTCAGATGTAAATGAGACTGCTACACTACTGACCCAAGCTTTCTGCACAATAAGAGGGGTTAGGAGCAATCCCAAATTCCCAGCTATCCCTTCTTTTAGCCCCTTGTGCTGCTGCCATGTATACTCTCAAAGCTGGCTTAGTCATGGGTAGCCCACCGTAAAGGACGAGCCATGAGCACACAGCGGGACTTGGGAATAACTGAGCAGAGACATTCCGAGAGACCTTGTCTCTTTGACTTGAAAGTTGATCCTCACTGGAATTATGGGGATCACAATTAAGTATAGTGCAGAGAAAGGAGAAAATATCTTTATTTTCCTAGATCTTGAATTTGGGGAGCAAAGGTCTATATTAAATACATGCATCTGAAGGTCCAGTCTGAGTACAGGAAAGGCATATGGGCCTCTGTTTACCATGACTTGATGCTAAGAAGCAGAACATGTTTGGAACAATAGATTGATTGACCCATGGGTCCTCTGAAAGAGCAGCAAGTACTCTGAAGCACTCTGGAAGACATTTTTTATTTTATTTTATTCTTCTCTAATATATTAGATCCTGGCCACAGTTTCCCCTCCCCTCCTGTTTCTCCCCCCAGAATACATTTGAAGATGTCTAAAATGATACTGTGAAGCAAGCATGAGTGCTGTGTTGTTTTCACAATACATTAACCTACCATCTGCCCCTCCCCTAAGACTGACATTCCCAGTATTCACAAGATTCATATTGGACTTTTTTCATTTTAATTTATATATGAGTGATTGCATAGAAATAATTTCACTACATTTTTTTTTTATCAGAAAGTGACTTTTTAAATCTGTCATAAAAATGTTGCCTGATAACTAGTGATGTGTCAGGAGTGTCAGGAGTGTCAGGAGTGTCATGAGTGTCATGAGTGTCATGAATGTCGTGAGCACATGCGACCAATTAAATCTGTTGGGAGAAAAGTTAAAGAGATTTTTCTACTCTTAACTCCTCTACGGCTCTGTTGATTTAACTCCTGATGGCCACTCTCCTGAGTGTCCAAAGGTGTTTGCAAAAATCAAATTGATTCTTCTACATTAATGTCTGGAAAGTGGAACTTTTCATCTCTTGGAAGCTAAGCTGCCTTATAGTGTTCAGCCAAGTACGGATAAGACCAACAGTGCTTTGTTTCAAGCAGAAAACAGCTTTCTATGACTTTTTATATATGAACAAATCTGAGAACTTATGAATAATTAAAATAGAAAGGGCTCTTTTCCTCTGTTGTTAATGTATTTTTATGAGTCAGTATCCCCAAGGTTCTATGTCTGAGGGATTTAAGCAACTGCTTTAAGAAATCTCTGAGGATGCTCCTGCAAGCCCCAACCGACAGTCACAACATGTTGGAAAAACATTACCCTTTTTTTCCTGCAGTTGCTTACTAATTATGCCACCTACCTAGCATGGCGTCTGTCTCAGCACACATAGCATAATAAAACGCTCTAATGTTCTTAATTTCCTTCCTGGTAAACTTCCCCGTGCAGTTTTTTGTATAGGAAGAGTAATAGTCCACAGGGTGCATTTCTGACAAAGGTGACCACTCTGGGATTTTGATGGCATCATAAGCTACCTGAAAAGGAGAAGAATCTTTACACCAGCAAAGGTGTAATACCCTTTCTTCCCACTGTGGCCAGTTTCACAATGTTTCATACACGGAAGGACTGAAAAGAATGGCAATGAAGCATGCAGTTCTCCAAGCAGGAATGGGCTGAGTAAACCTTATTTACATAATCAGGAGCAGGAGCGTTTCAGACTTGATGAGCTTTCTTTGAAAAGTCACAGAGAGAATGTGTCTCCCAGTGATAAATCCATGAGACACTTCACAAAAGGGGATAATGAAACGAAACTCAGGAAGATGAACATTCAATGAAGAAACAAAGCGTGCCAGTGCTGAAGAGGATTCAAACCACACATATATAAAGTAACAGAATAAAAGGATGCTCTTGGAATGCTAATGTGCTGCCATCTCAAAGAATTCAGGTTCACAGTCAGAGTCACCGAGGGACTGGTCACCTATCACAATCAGGATGACCAGTTTGAAGAAAAGAATTGAGAAACTGGTAAAAATATTCACACTGAAGGAACTCTATATTGGAAGCCAAAAAGTAAAAATGTAGGAAGTTGACCTAAATAGAGAAAGAAATATGACAATTTACAAAGTCAAGGGAAGATGCTTGTTATAGATCAGCTGCAAAGGGGAGGCGGTGGCTCACACTGCAGGTCAGGAGCTGCACTGGGGAGGCGGTGGCTCACAATGTACCTAGCATGCTCTTTACAACATTGATACTAGACATCTCTATGTTTTTAGCACAATGTACTAAATAATACATTTTCTCTCTCTATTGACAAATCAAGACAAAATTTTAAATATTTTGACAGATGTTTTTAAAATTTTTTAAAAAAATGATAATTTCTTTCTTTAACAATGAAGATGGTTTTTCAGTTTTCTTCTGGGTGGTTATTTTTACCATTCTGAACTGGGGATATGAGGCCTGTCCACACTGCAGAGATAATGTCTTCCAGTTTCTTCTTATAAACATACCATATGCAACTCTATACAGGTAACAAGCACTAATATTTTATTTTCAAAATACTATCCTTTTAACAAACTCATTACTGTTTTAGTTTAAAAGTATAAATTCCCACCAGGCAGTGGTGGCACAGGCTTTTAATCCCAGAACTCAGGAGGTAGAGGCAGGCAGGGGGAATCTCTGTAAATTCAGAGCTAGTTCCGGGGCAACCAGGGATGTTACACAGCTAAACTTTGTCTCAAAACAAACAATCAAACATAAAAACAAAACAAAACAAAAAAGAAAAAGTGTAAATTTCCAATTTTTCCATAAAAATAATAAAAGTAAAACTGAGCTGGCAGCAGGTGGCTCTGCATGTGACAGGAATGTCTACTTTTGGGCACACACAGAATACTTACTTTTTCAAGCCAATACAGAGACGTTTGAAATGTAGAAGAGCCGAAGTTTTCCCCTGAAGAAGGTGAAGGGTAAGGGTGTGGCAGATTCAGTCCCAGGTAAAGCACAAATGGCTTGGTGGAGTTAACCGCTTCCTGCCTCAGCCAGGCGATGGCTCTGTCTGTGTTCTGCCAGTCTCCAGCCATCACTCTCCTTCTGTTCTTGTCTGGGATAAGATTAACCACAGGCCTGCCTTCTTGTCTGAGCAAGAATGCAACGTCCCTTGTCCACGCTTCCACACGGTTACTGAGGGCATAAGAACATAAGCAGTTCAGAAAACATTCATGCGGCCTTAGAAACTGGCTCAACAAATGCTGGAAAGAAACAGGGAAACAGTGTTAAGGTTTACTCAAGTGTTTAGATAACTGTATCACAACACATCTCAGTTAAAAAGTTAAATATTACAGCTTTAAAAACTATGGAAAATAACTGAATATTCATTTGTGCTAAGGTTATCACAGATTGCATAGACTAGTAATTTTTCTCACAGAAAGATATTTAATTGTGCTGGCTGGTCTTATGTCAATTTGACATAAACTAGTGTTATCTGAAAGGAGGGAACCTCAATTGAGAAACTGCTTCCATAAGATCCAGCTGTAAGGCACTTTTTAAATTAGTGATTGATGGGTGGGGGCAAGCCCCTTGTGGGCGGTGCCAGCCCTGGGCTAGTCGTCCTGAGTTCTATAGAAAGGACGATGAGAAAGCCATGGGGAGCGAGCCTGTAAGCAGCACCCCTCCGTGGCCTCTGTGTCAGCTCCTGCCTCCAGGTTCCTGCCCTGCGTGAGTTCCTGTCTTGACTTCCTCCAGTGATGAACTTGATATGGAAGTGTATTTCAAATAACCCTTTCCTCCCCAAGCTGCTTTGGTCATGGTGATTTAGCACAGCAATAGTAACCACAAGTAAGACGTTAGTTAAAGTATTTCATATTTCTAGTAATTTTCTTTTCCATTGATCTTTCTAGCACTTCAGTATCTTTCTCCCAAAAAGTACTGTAATCTCTTTGCATCACTAAAACTTCTGTATTTTAAAAATTCTACCTCCCATTTGTACCTCTTGTGTTCCTAAATTCTGTGTTATAATATGTTCCCTGTTCTAGCTTTTCTCACTGAGAAACAGTTCAGCCATGGTCTAAACTGCCATGATAGTGATGCGACTTTCTTATTTGTTATACTCTAGGTCTGTTTTTGTCTTTGTTAGTTGACTGACATAAGAATGACTTAACTCAATTTTTGGAAGTCTTTAGTCTGTGTCACAGATGTTTTCAAATGTCTAGATTTATGGAGCTGATGTTGTTGCTTATGGAGCACTCAGCATCGCCCAGAAACTTGTTTTATAGTCTCTGTTGACACAAGTACCTCTGACGTGCTCTATCAGATTAGAAACCCAACAAAACCACATTTTATGTTAAAACATAATACTCAGAAGAAATTTCAGACCAGAAAATGACTAATAGCCCATGGGTACGAGGCACACGTCTTTACTTCCAGCACTTGAGAGGCAGAGGCAGGTAGATCTCTTTAAGTCTGGGGACAGCCTGGTCTACAAAGTAAGTTCTAGGAGCAGTTACAAAGAGAAACTCTATATCAAAAGAAAAAACATTTCTTTTCACCTGCTTATTGAAGGCAGACAAAGAAATCAAAGCAGATATAATAAAAATATCTTTACATATTACATAGTTAATATGTCAAAATAAAAATATCAAAGAGTAGAATTTTAACAGAATTACACGTACCAATTAATTCTAACAGATGGCAAAATCCAAAATAGGATTTTCTGGGTAAAATTCACCATATAATAAAGCATGTGATATTAGCTTCTCAGTCTTTGGTTTGCGTCATTGCTAAGTGTGTCACTACATTAGAGACAAGGTTTTAGGGTTCATAACACCCCTGGGGGTCAAAGCAGCACACTGGGACTCAAAAGAATGTGAGGACCCAAAGCACCTCCTTGTTACTAGCAGTGGTCATGGAAAATATTACTGAGGAATTACTAAGAGACAAACTCGGACACAACACAATGAGCTGCTCCTCTGTGGAATGACTCAGCTGTAGACAAGTATTCTGATCACTGGAGTCCCACTTAACCTTCTGTTCAGTCAGGAGTGAATCCGACCAAGGCAAGAGCACTAACCTTTCTGTTCATGAACTTCATTAATACCAATCTTTTTCTTTGGTCAAATTATAAAAACTTAAACCCAGCCAGCTGTATCTTTTCTCACATAAGGAAAAAAATTTGATTGTATTTATCTTTTCTGAATAATGTTTTTGTCCAGTGCATGGTTTTATTTTTTAATTTTTTGTGTTGCGGGGTTCTTTTAACATATTAATGGTTTGAATTTGAAATACCACTCCACCCTGAAGGTGACCAGCTTGTGGCACCATTGGTGGTGGCAGACCCTTTTGGAAACAGAGCCTAGGGAAAGAAAGTGAGGGGTCACTGGGGCATCTTCTCTCTTTCCTCCCTTTCTTTGTTCCTGGCCACCGTAATGAGGAGAGGCTTTCCCTCCTGCACACACCTGCTTTGGTGCTCCTGGTCACTGTGATGTGAACAGGCTTTCCCTCCTGCACACACCTGTCATGGTGTTCCTGGTCACTCTGATGTGAACAGTCTTTCCCTCCTACACACAGCTGCCATGTGTTCCTGGTCACTGTGATGTGAACAGGCTTTTCTTCCTGCACAGCTGCCATGGTTTCTTCTGCTTCACTGTAGACCCCAAACAACAAAGCCAAAGAAACATGGACTAAAGCTGCTGAAATTTCAAGCCAAAATTTCCACCTTAAAAGTTGGTCTATCTCAGGAATGGCAACAGAAATCTCATTAGCACATTAACAGTTCAATGTAAGTTAATTTGGCCAGCTTTATCATCATCAAGTTTTAAAACTTGACTTTATTTTCACCCTTTGCTAAACCGTAATTTATTTCTTGCTGATACACATGGGAACTAAAACTACCTACCACACTGCCACCTAATTACTGCATGAGTCTGTGTGCCAATGCTGTGTGGGTTTTCTGTGCCAGTTCTCCTGCGACAACACTGGGTGCAATTCACAGGTGTCAAGGAGTAATTGATATAGTAACAAGTACTTCTGAAGAAAAATTACACATTAAAATTGATTATGAAATGAATTTTCTTTCAATATGAAGTAGCAATGTAGGTAAAGCTGCAGTTTCCAGAGTCTCCCACGAGGCCCATCAGCCTTGACTGCCAAGGTCTGGTGGTCTCCCCTCCACAATGTTTTTGTTGGAACTATACATGCAACAATTCTTCTGAATAGAAAAATGATAGTTCTAAATATTCCCTTGCAAATTTCTGAACCAATATAATAAATTCTATATTAAAAAAAGGAATTCACCATTCCTTATTGTATGCTCTTTTCTATGACTAAACTTCAAATTTGTTCTTACTTTCATATTTTTATATTGGAGAATAAATCTCTATGTTCTTAACCCGATCAGCAAATATGAGAATTCTGGCATGAAGTGTGAGTGGGACTTATGATCCTTTACAGAACTTTAACTGAGAAAAAAAAATAATGCAACTATGTCCATAATGGAACTGTGAGGTAGTAGGTGACAAAGGAAATGGAGCCTGAATCAAGCAGAGCCACGGCTGGAAGAGATGCAATAAAACAGAAAACAACGCCCAGAGTTGAACAGAAAGCCAAGTCATGACTCAGGTTGCTGAAGATCGAAGTGAGGCCACTGAATCTGCACTGGATTCAAAATTATTTCCTAATTCTATTACTTGAGAAGTATGCGAAAGGCCTTGGTCCCAGACTGATAATTCAATCCGTCATCAACGCAGGCAAGTCCTTACATTACAGTCATGGTATCCTGAACAACCCAATCTTGTATAGGTGGGTTCAAAGAAAAATTCTCCCAACGTCAAAAATTTAGTGAGTGCTTCACATGGAAAACATTGAGGCTCCCCAATATGCACCAGAACCAAACCAAAGAACTTAATGAAAAATAATCACCATATTCAGAGAATTATACTGAGTAAAAAATCTCATTCAATTCTCACAAAAACTTCTAAAAGGTATAAAATGTTATCTCTGATGCTGGGAAGTAGTTAAGCTTTCTCTGATAAGAATGCATACACCACTCCATTTGCCGATAGGTTTACCCATGCACCTTCAACTATTTATTTCAACCCCACTAGGAAATTATAAAAAGTCTGAAAACTCTCATATTCTCTATATGCTTAATTTTTAATTTCAACATTTCTAGCTTCCTATCAGAAAGAGGTGCTAAAAGAAAGGCAGTATTATTCATGGTAACTACAGTGAAATAGAGCGAACAGACAGGCAACACCTAAAAAGACTCAGAGAGTAAATCAGGGTGTCCTTAAGGTGGGGGCAAATTAGGTCAACCAAGGAACAGTTTTGGGGAGGTAAGATGGCTCAGTAGATAAAAGCACTTGCCACACAAACTTGATGACCCAAGTTCATTCTCCAGAACCTACATGACGGAAGAAGAGGACGGATTCTAGAAAGTGGTCCTCTGACCTCATCATGCACCATGGCATGTGAGCATGCAAGTGTCCCCTCTTTCTTCCTCCCCTGCCACATACACACAGAATTTTTAAAAGAAGAAATTAAACGGACTCTCAAAAAATTCACCAGACTGCCAGGCACAGTGGTGCACACCTTTAATCCCAGGACTTGGAAGGCAAGAAGGAGGTAGGTTTCTATTTGAGGCCAGGCTGTTCTACAGAGTGTTCCAGGACAGCCAGGGCTATACAGAGAAACCCTGTCTTGAAAAACAAACAAATAAAAAGCAAAGCAAAACAAACAAAAATCCCCAAAAATATAAAACCCCTAAAACAACTAAAGCATTCATCCACCAGAGAGAGTATAGAGAAAATGTGCTATATATACACTGGAAGAGTGCTCAGCTGCAGAAAACTGAAATTCTGTCATGTGTGCTAACACAGCTGGAACGGGACACTGTGTTAAGTGAAATCAGCCAGGCACAGACGACAAGCAGGACATGCTCTCACTTTTTGAAAAAGTAGATCTGGAAGTTGGGACTAGACTTGTGGCTCACAGGCTGAGGGGAGTGTGGCACGGCTTCAGTGGAGAAACACACACTGTGGGATCAACATTATAACAACGTCCGAAGAAGAAAGCCACCCTGCTTTCCTATTACGTGGTAGGGTAGGCAGATATTTACCAACCATTTCAGAATACTAAGGACTCTGAGAGTTTTTGCCCTGAGAAGGGACATACGAAGACACAGTGAC